GTCGCATGGTACCAATTTGTATATGCATGAGTCACATCGAACTAGCCTACTACTAGGTGACGTAGTCCATGGAGGTAAAATAAGACTCTCCATGCGTAGTCCAACACACTAGAAACTAATGTTAAATCACAGTCCCTCTATATGTGGACTGTGGTTATATTCACAAGCGTGTCGAAGGACAGAAACGTAGGAAGTGGAAGTAAGCGTTCACACAACCACAGTCCCTCAACACCGGTGTCGGGAGACTGTGACACAACCTCAACGATGGAAAACGCGAATTGTGCCATTAATGAAAACCAGTCAACATTATTACATATAGTAACATGCCACATCCTACATAATGGTACGATTTACTGACAAATATGTCGAATTGTCCGATACTTGACTAACCACGGACTTAAATAATTTAATAAAGTTGTTTTATCGCCATACGGAAATTATTATTAAAACTTTCCCTCCTCCGTCAACAATAAACAATCAACAAACACACTTATCACAGAGTTCCTTTAAATAGTCCATGAACGGTTACCATAGTGACGTCGTATTGCTGCAGTACCTCGTAGTGACAAGCAGCGAAATGTCTATGTTGAATTAAACCTCTCTCTGGACAAGGGTATATGTCTAAGCCTGATTATTTGGAAGTTATACCTATTATCAGTATACGTCACGGTTAAACAACAAGAGCATATGTACGCATTCACGTGACCTTCAACCAGATTAAATGTTATGATTTAACGAAGAGAAACTGACTCATTCACCGTGTTTGCATGTCCTTAATGTGACGCGGAAAACGTAATCTTCGAGAGTTACTATAGTATCACCCTCAAACTCTACGTCGTGTAAATTATCGTGAGTCGTGGTGTCTCAGGTCATGTGGTTGATATCATTTATTATTATTATTATATTTCCATTTCTCTAAAGAAATATACCCCACTAACCTGGGGGGACAGGTTACAATGCATATAAAAAAAGTTACAGGCGTGACTTTAATCGCCTCAATAAAATAAAATATTATAACTCCTGTATTGAAGAACTCACACTAACAAAATATATCTAATCTGAAAAGCTGTGTATACAAATCTTGCAAGAAATTGGATGATTCCATGGTTATCCTGAGAAAAAAATTATATAAGTTTACTGATAGGCGAAAGGAGCTCAAATTGTGGTTCAATGCAACACGGTTACTAAATCTGTTTTAGTAACCGTGAATGCAGTTAATTCGATCAAAAAGTGGTTTTCGAATATGGTTAGACTAGACAAACTACCAGAAAATGAGTCTCATCTTCAACAGCATATATACATATTTGGCAGGTTCTGCCTTTATAAACTGAATGCGGTCGTACAGCTTACGTGCCCTCGCAAGCTCATGTGCTTCTGTCGCACCTCAGTCCGCAAAAGCCGTATAATAATCAGTGGTATTAGCCCGATGACGAGTCGCGTGAGTTGCGCCCTCCGCGGTGCTCCAAACCCAACATGACGTCTGGTGCCGTTCGGCCGGTGAGGGCCTACTCACGTCTACATGTCAGGCTACAGTGGTACTTGTATATGATGGCATATGCCACGCCCATATTAGAATCGTGGAATTTCATTTTTATGTTTTCAGATATTCAACTTAAATGTATGCACCACTACGAGACAAGAAAGTAGTAAGTGGTGTTTTGTCTGTGGAGGGGCGAACAATCAAACGCAGACATGTTAACACAGAACACACTTCGATCGCCATGAGTATTTAGATATTAAATATGTTGGTAATAGATCTCAGACGGATCAGAGAATAGATGGAGAGACTGTGATGATGTGTATTCACGCCTGCCTAAGTGTCTATCGACTTTCGACTGCCACAACGGCGAATGGGTTACATTGTTCGAAAGACACTTACGCTCAGTGATGGACAGGCCTTTGAACAGTTCCGTTACATTGCGATATCGTGTAGGTGACAATTAGCAAACACATGGTCTACTTCCTAACATCTTGACATAGAGTCTGGTGAAGAAACGTCCGTCCATCCATAGTGCCATATTGGGAAACCCGGAAATAAAAGATTTTCTAATACTAGTAGACATTATGCCTTAGACACGGTTACGTTAGTACCTTCAATGCTTTTAGTAAGCGTCTTAAACAATGTAATACAGCAGGCGCAGCAATACATTTGTTCTTAGTTATTTTATTTCCAGAGTATTCTTCGTCGTTTACAACATTGTATGAGTGAAAATTACGTATCGTTATCTAAACACAGACATCGTTTAGAAGACGTTTGATTATTTCACTCCACACATTGCTCATTTTGTTTGTGCTCTACCTCTTGTTAGTCACCGATAATCACGAAAATACTGGCCCTGTATGTAGTTTCGGATTGTTACGAATACAAAGAGTTATTATTATTAAACTAGGACGTCTTTTTTTTTACTTTCATACTTACGTATACACGACTGTACAGAACGAACGCTACCAACGGTTACAAACAATATTCTTTCATTCGGTGAAGGCGCAAATCATATACATGTGTACCTGTTGTTTCGATACAAGTGATCTCAATTGCTTATGGCTGCCAAAACTTTCTGTATTTTATGTTTGTTTTTATTTCTGGAGCCATGTGTTAATGTCACCATAAGTTTTCAAACTGCGTAAACTCTTTGGTGTGCCATGTTTTTATAATCGTTTTTCCAACGATCGATCTGTTGAGATATTGAGCGTCTTTGCTCATTGTCCATATACCCACACCTTGAGTAAATTCCTGACAAAGTTGACAATTATAAGAAATATAACCAAACAATTAAACATTGATTTTCCCAATTTAGAAACACCACCAACAACAGTAATGAATAGAGTGTGATTAAAACAAGTAACACACTTTATATTGAAACGATAGCTGTGATAAAGGCATGCTATCATCTAATAATGGTTTACTGACTAGATAGGTTTTGTCCGCGACTGTTCTAAAACTGTACTTTAAGAAAGTGTTTTATCAGAGTGTGACCCAAAATAAGGTGTATTTTGTCCGTTGGAGAGAGCGAAAAATCATTCGAGACAGGTTGACACTGCATTTACTTACGGCGATCGCCACTATTTCGATTTTCCGGTATATTAATAATAGATCCCCGACTGGTCTGAGAATAAATAGACTGTGATAAAAGGGATTGACACATGTCTAAGTGTTTACCGGATATCGCCCGTCACAACATCTGATCTGTTACATTGTGAAAAAGATAACTATACGCTTTGTGTTCGACACACCTTTGAACAGCACCGGTACTTTGCGATATAATGCATGTGACAATGTGAAAAACATGCATACGTGTGGCTCACTTCCTAACATCTGCATAACAATAAAGCAAACTACTTTTTATAAAAAAAAAACAAAAAAAAAACTATTTATTTATTTATTTTCAATTTCACTATTTTGATGTTTTGAGCCATTTCACTAGGTTTTAAGTTACCAAACTTTGCAGAGAAACGAGTTCTTTTGTTATTCCACAAGCTCACGTAGATTATTAGCGAAAAGAGCGAAAATTAAAAACCGGTGAAAAATTAGTGCATTTACACTAGTTTGAGGTTCAGCCAGGCAATTGGAAACATTTTGGCACCGTGTGAACAGACGTTTCAGTTTTAGATTTTTTTCTAATCGCGGTTACTGAAACATATTGTTTAAGTAACCATGATTTGTTAAAGAAAACGGTCATAATCCATCTAGAAAAAATGCATTTTACTGCGTATTATGGGCGGGAAAACCGCGTCTTTATATGCTCCTCTTTGTATAGCTAGCGTTATGTCATATTCCCGACATACCACACTTTAAATTATTTTGTGTGTGATTTTTTATGATATTAACAACGTGTGTGAGTACCCCCCATAATGTAAGCCCGATGCCCCCACACTGTCTCGCTTCATTTGGCTTATTTTTTAGTTTGTGTATATGTACGCTCTCATAAGTATGTGATTGAAACGTATGATGTCGAGTACCAAACCTACTTATAAGTGTTACCAATGCATTTATTTGACGAATATACGCATGTTTTATTGACAAACTTCAGTATATTGTTGAACTACAAATAGATTGAACGGAAAACGCGAGAAACGACATGTCACTCTCACTTTTGACGATCAGACTCGTCAGTATTGTTCTCGAAATCAGCCAATCAGCAAGCGTACCCATCGTAGAAATTATGATCTTTTGTTTTATTCTTTAGCATTCAGATATGTTTCTAAAGACAATGCCATTATGCAAAGTAGGTTCAGAAGATAAATAGCGCCACGTCACTGCTTCTAAAATCAGTACGTTCCTTGGCACGATAAGGCGAACTCTTCAGTTATAAACCATACTCATTCCTTGTTATTCGATTTAACATGGAAAGACGTGCCCCAGACGTTATCGATGCTGACATTCAGACAAAGATATCCACCGAACTCTCGAAACCGACTGAATTACCTGTATGCAAACTAGTTGATGAAACTAAAAAAGGTTACCCAGAAACAATGACATCCAAGAAACGGAAAACGTGTACAAAAGAAGCAAGAGAATTAGCAAACGCGAGGGAGAGAGCTCGAATGACAGCCATGAAGGAGGGCATCAACACTCTACGAGACAGATTACCCAAGTCATGTACACCGATTGGAAGTAAACAACTATCGACGATGAGCACATTAAAAGCAGCCATCGAATATATCACGTATCTAGGCGAAGTTTTGGAATTTGGTGCGGAGAACTGCGACCGTCGTCTTAACCTGAGATATGACAAGCATATACAAGGACTCCGTGAACGTCCAGCACCCGATCATCTCAAGAAACAGACTGTTAGTTCACTGGTTACTGGCCAGGAGAGAAAGACAGTTAAAGCGAGAAGACGACAGATGTCATCTAAGAAGTTACCACCAATTTCTTCAGTCTTACCAGCCGTGACAGTGCCAATTTCGTCAAGATCAAACCGAAGGGCAGAACTCCGACCAGAACGCAAGGACGAATAGTTAAATACACATTGCAAATTAGTGTAATAACTTCCCCATCCCTCTATCAGGACTGTTAATTACAGTATAAGCATTATTTTGTATTATTTACAGACACCCCGATGAAAACTTTGCCACGTGCTTTATTCGACTAACTTTTAACGTTTCAGATTGTCGGTACGCCGTATGGTGAATATCACTGAACATTGGTGTGTGAAACGGACAGTGTCTGCCACTTTCTTGACGCTCAGACTGGTCGACGGTGATGGCGCATTATCTATATACTAATAATTTCTAGATAATGCCATCACGCGACACGTTCCTGTTAACCAGACCAGCGCGCGACAGCGTTTGACATTTTAGCATGCAACTATTCTACGTAATATATGCATTTTTTTATCGCTTGATAATTCTAGTTAATTATTCAATAAAATTATTGTTAGTCACAAATATTGGCTGTGGTGACGTATATTTAACTATCCCAAGAGCCAGATATTCCCCATGTACATTACACTACGTGTATTTGTACATTTAACTATCCAAAGAGCCAAATTTTTTCCATGTTGTTATTCTACGTATATTCAACCATCCCAATTATCAGATATTCCCAGTAGTCCTTACATTACCTATATTCGTACATTTAACTATTCCAACAGCCAGATATTCCACGAGGTCACTACGTACACTTACCTATCCTAACAGCCAGATATTCCCTTTGGTCGTTACACTACGTATAATCGCACATTTAACTATCCCATGCAGTTGCCAGATATTCCACGAGGTACATTTCGTACATTTAACTATCCCAATTACCAGATATACCCAGTGACCCAATTACCAGATATACCCCGTGGCTGTGCTTTTATTCTACGTATATTCTCGATGGTCACAACACTACGTTAGTACCTTACATGGTATATTTGACTATCACGACAACCAGATACTCCACGAGGTCGATGCACGACGTACATTCGTACATTAAAATATCCAACCAGCCAGATACTCCATACTTATCTTTAATCATCCCAGTTACACAATGTATATTCATACATTAACAAGGCACGGGAGGCCAGATAGTTATTTGCACACATTACATGTATTCATATAAAATATGGCACCAACACCAATGAAGCAAACTTTGCAATTCGCTTCCGATATGCTTGTTATACTTGTTGGAGGTAATAGTTAATAGAGCACATTAAATTTAGGCGCAGCTGCCATAACCATGGTTGCAGAAGATGTTCTTTTGCTTGGTTACAATAGTGAATGTCATCTAAACTAGGTGGGGATGGGGGGAAACAAGCAATCCTGGAAACTTGTGTGCTTTTAAAACTCCTACACATGCAATACTCGCCAGAAAATTTCTTCAGTCTTACCACCCGTGACAGCGCCAATTTCGTCATGACCAAACCGAAGGACAGAACTCCGACCAGAACGCAAGGACGTATAGTTAAATATATATTGCAAGTGTAATCACTCCCTCACCCCTCTATCACGACTGTTAACAGTATAAGCATCTATTTTTTTTGTCCGAAGTTTTTCTTGCCATACAAAGAGTAGTGGTTTGCGACAATGGCTCGTGCTACTAACTTTGTCGACTACACTACCAGAAAATAGCGCCCCCATCAGTGATTACAATTTTTCTTTCTTTTTATACAGTCCCAAAACCTGATTTTATATGGAGCAAAAAAATCAGATTAAATCATTGGAGGGTTCAACAAAAAGACAAAAGACCAAGATTATTTCAAGGATATTTTTTTGTTTCATTTATTTTAAACATGCAAACAAAGTTATACTGCATAAAATGACAGCCACACACTGACCATAAAACACCACTAATAGAAAACATCCTTCAGGTTCAAGTCAACTTACCGTTTGTGTTAATAAAACTAGACTAATTGATCTGAAAAAAGGATGTTTTCTTTTTTTTAACCAATGTTATAAAAAAAGTACATAATTATCACTTTATTCTCCCTCAAATAAAGTTATTTTAAGTCAATAAAACTATGGGGGAAATATGACTGCACATGATTTTTAATACTGGTTTATACAAGATCATGTAATATTTTTTTTTACATGTTTTGTTTTCAACAAGAAAATCATCAGAAAACTTGTGTCTGACATGTAGTATATTTTTCTACACTAGATGGCAAGAACCAGACAATTCAGAAAGGTAAAAACAAAAAGATTAAGTTCTAAGGGTACTGACAGGAGAGGGGGAGGGGTTTGTGCTTCAACAGAGCAAGTAGTTTTGCAGCATACGACTTGGAAGCCCCCTATTGCTCCTACAGCACCACACTGAATTTAATGCACGAAGAATTGATGAAAATATTCATGAGAACTTACTTTTCAGTTTCAGTCCCAGACAGGACAAATATTTAAATTTGAAATACAAATCAACTTGTAACAGACAATCTGACAATCCATCCATGGTACACATTTTACAATAATTACTAAAGACATGATCACATGTGATGATCGCCATAGCAACTCTGATACAAATCTGAAAGAAAGCTAGTGATCTTTGAGCATCGGCCGAGCACTATTCAAATAAACATAAAGGAAGAAAGAAAGGACAACCATTCCCAAACATTTGATAAAGAGGTGAAAATTTAAATTTTTTTCCTTTTATTTACTGTATCGACCGAAAGTAAATTTAATGCTCACATTTAGGAACCTGCTTACTGAAAAACACAAAGAGGGAATTATTTTGAGCAACAAATTCAATAAAGTTGAAAATATTATTTTGACTTGAATAAACACTTTTCGGATATTCTAAAGGGTGGGTATCTGGATATATATATATATATAAAAAAAACACATAAAATCTGATTTAAATTTATAACATAATATTGGCTAAAGCAGTTAAAAATACTAAACTACAACAAAAGTGCATGCTCTTTCTCCATGCTATCTCCTTGCATCTTATCATCCCTGTCACCCCACAATGAGTTAGTCCAATAAACTGAAGGTGATTCATGGGAAAAATGATCTCAATAAAGAGAGCGGTGAACTTAACGTCAGTGAGATGTTAAAACTATAAAACCAGAGCACAATTTGAGCTGTAACATGTCCGGGTGCCTTCTTAATCACACGTTTGGTTAGTCGGTTCACTGCACTGTTAACTTGTATGGTTAGTCTTCTGTCTGTTATTTTCCCAATGTGTATCATAGACGGAATTTACATGCTATGTGCATATGCACACACGTACACCTCACACATGCATGCATGTATGGGCAGTGTCTTGTTCATTTGCACGTAGTCCTTCAGTCGGTCAAGCTCACTGTCGAGTAAAAAAAATGATCCTGTCAGCTGTCCAGTCTTGTCTTGCCGTTGTTGTTTTTGTTATCTGGTTGGGTATAGGGTTGTTTTAACAATCTGTCAGGTAGTCTCTGTTCTCACACTTGTATGTCTGTTAAAAAAGAAGCAATTATATATGATAGGATAATTGGAACATTTACTTGCTGGCCCTCTAACAGCAGTCCACCATCTCCATCATTATGTCTTTCTCAAAATAAAGAAAATGGCCGAACTTGATTAATGCACATTTGGAAAGACCGATCACAGAATAGGGCATTCCTATTCACTTGATTTGGCCTAGATGACCATTGGATAAATAGGTACACCCCCAAAAAAAATCAGATGATTCAAGATGCACATCCGATTGAGTACATTTCTTCCTGCCCGATCTTGATCGGCCCACACAATCTGCATAATCAAGTTCAGCTAAAGAGAACAAACTACTGATAGTCATTAGTCATAATTGTCTATCTTCCCACAATGCACCAGTTGTCACTTTTTACTAAATAATACTAATTGTGGGTGAAAACTAGCCAACTGTCAGATTCGACAGACAGCATGGCGGTTGAGCATGGATACAATACCAACTCACCTGCTATTACTAAATCTAACGGTATAAACCAAATAATTTGTCAACAAGAGGCAAGAGAAATATTTTTAAAAATAAAGGAAAGCATAGCTACATGTATAATGACAATGATACCATACTTACCACAAGGGGCAAAGGTTGAGAAGCCTTTATTCATTGAAAAAGAATTGGGTACCCTAACTTAAATATATTAAATACTAAGTAAACAAGTTTCTTTAATGACACAAAGATATTTTTAGCCCAGCTAGTAAAGGTGCAAATGATCAAAAGATATATATTTCTAATTATGGGTTCTTTTACTTTCCAGATTGTGTACACTGGTTTTACCTTAGAGGCCCAATGCAGTATTTGTTTAGTGATGTGCTAACATAAATGCATTGGCATTAAAATGGATTTGGAATGTTTAAAAGTCCCTCGAAACAATCAATTTTAGATCTGATGCCCCTCTCTGAAAAAGGAGCTTGTATTCATGGATGCAAACAAATTTTTTTTTTCTTTCACATGAAGCACTGAAGCTAGTGAAAGAAAAAACATTTAATTATAGTATTGGAACTGATATTTACATTAGACAGCTCACAGTTTTAGCTGCAATAGCAATCTGGTATGATTTTACTTTTTTTGCAAAAATGGAGAAAAATCACACATCAGGGGTTTGGATTCAAATTGTCAGCATGTGAATTACCATGTTAGTCATAAAAACAGATTTAACGCCTCGCATACAATTTTCTCTATTTTCATTGTAGGGGTGAAATAGCGAAAATCAAATCTATTGCCAATGTTCTTTCCCTTGATGCTTTGTCATATCATGACAAATAATTTAGCATTTTTTAGCAGATTAATACCAGCGAAAAGTACTTTGGATGATTGTAAGGAAATAAACAAAAACACTGAAAGATACTATACCTACCGCAACTGTGCAATAACCAAGCAAACAAACAAAAATAAAACAAAGTAAAGAAAACAGATTGAATTTTGTTGTTGTATTACTATTATTATTCTGTATTGTGCATACAGCGACATGGAAGCAAGTCAGTCCTACACTCTTGGCAGTACAAACCAGATGTCACAAGAAAATAATTTGCATAAACCTCCCATGATGCAAAGTACTTTTACCACACAATCTATTCAATATTTGTTGCTTATTCAATAACTTTCTACTTTTGACAATTCAATAAATTTAGGCCATACATCCATGTAATTTACTAAGATTGAGACACTATGACATTCTGGACTAAGTGAAAAATAAGAAGGGAGGACGTTGTGTAAAAACATGACCTGACTGCCAGAGTGGGATCTCTGAAAAACCAGTATGATGGATACAATTGTCGTGTGCACATCATCACGCGGTTCATGAATTTATAATTTAAGTATTTAAATGCTTGAGACAGGAGATCGTCAAACATAATGCTTGGCAGTTTAATAAATTCTTATTATTGGATTGAAAACCTTTTTTCTTTCTGTGATAAAACTTTGCACTTTGCTTAGGATTTATTGACAAGATAAACTGAACTAGATTGTGAAAACATTGACAGAATAATATCACTGAGTATATCTGGAAACTGGTAACCAACAATACAGGACTGTTACTTGCATCCACTGTGCCAGGTATCTTAACTGTTGCATCAAACAACGTGGCACAACGACTGTGATGTTTTAGGATCTTTAGAATTGCTAACTACTCATTCTTGTCATCTATGTTAAGAAAGTACTGTAAAACATGTTGAAAAAGCGGCATGCAATTTTAGCGAATTGTGGTAAAATGACGTAATAGCGAAATGTTGATTTAGCGAATCTCTCTTGTCATTGTTGATTTCTTTGTTTGGCGGCCATTTTGAATTGATAATAAGGTCATTAGCGACATCTTGAATTAGCGAATCAGTTCTCTCGCTAAATTCGCGAAAAAAAAGACATGCTCGCGAAAAAGACATGTTTTACAGTAGTCTTAAGCACATCGCCAGCCATAACTAATAACGCCATGCAATGGTGCGAATTTCAAGGTCAATTTCTCGGTGGCTTTTGTACCATGTGACGAGACAACAGCAAGCCTGCTTGTTATAAATATATGATCAGCATCAACAATGTAATAAAATGCATTCACAAGAAATGGCTGGAGATGTATTAATTAATATTGTAATTGACTGTAAGAGCATAGGGAGAGAAATGCACACACAAACAAGAAGAGATAAGTTAAGGCAAAAAATTACTCAAGAAATAGGGTCACTATAAAGCTATGGTTACCATAGTAATGTTCCAAAACTCCTCTCTATGTTATTGCCATCCTACAACCAGACTTAAGCGCAACTCTAATGAAAGTAACATGCATGAGACTGA